ATGTCATCAAGACCACTGTCAGGTTACACAGGACGCCATGGATTTTGGACCAAAAGGACACGTCAACGACTCGCCATGGAGACTGTCTCATGCTGTGCACCTACAGCGCCAAGAAAGTCTCCACCATTGCCGATCTTCACGCCCTTCTCGAAGCTGCAGGGCGCATCAACTACCACGTAAACGTCTTACAGAAAACAAAGTTCAGGAAGACGGACATGAGGCAGTCGAGTGATGGCATACTCATCATTCGTGGTGAGGAAGTTCCATCACGAAACATTGGAAGAGTTGGGTTTGTCGTACACTTGTCTGTTGACCATCTGGACTCACATGAGATTCTATCACCTCGCCTGGCTATCCTTCGACTCCCCTCTGCATCAGAAAACCCCCACTATCATCATTCTCCAAAATCAGCAGTTGATGACTCGGAACTAGATGCTTTTTATAAGTATTTGGAGGAAATCATTCGCAATGAAAATTTATTCTGTAAATTCATCGTGGGTGTATGCAAAAATCGCGATGCCAGGGGAGCATAGGATCGGAAATTTGGACCAGGGTTCCGGAATGAGTATGGTAACCGTCTTGTTGGGCTCTTACCCGTCGCATGACTTTTTCATGGCAACTCCATCTTCATGAAGAAAGACCACCGGCGGTGACATGGGAGTCACCCAAAATACGACTCACGCGGAGATCGACCACCAAACTCAGCAATCAAAATGGTGCATACTGGACGTCTCGCTGGCATCATCCTGCAGCAGTTGTTCAGAACACGCCTCCTGCAAGCAAAAGTTCGATTCAGCCGAAAGCTGGAAAAGAAGATCTGTTACCGGGTTGGAGGAAGGAGAGAAGTTGTATATGGTGTCAGATTGTTGGAGTTCCTGACCCCTTGTGACTGGATCATCGAGGAGGACCCAACGAAAGACTATGACCTGCTTCTTAGAAGACTGAGAATCTGTGTAGAAGTTTAATGCCTCCACAAGAAATTGGAATTTTGAAAGCCACCAAGGATCTGCTAAAGAGGAAAACAATTGCACTAAGGCTGGATCCGACTGCATCACATCTCCAGCGACGTAGCTAATACCAATTGCAGAACAGCTTTTCAAGAAGATATTCGAAAGTACAGGCAATCGAAACCTTTAGAAGCAGCACAAAGAAAGAGGAGTCTAAAGAAGCACCTTCTCGGCTATCGTGTTCCACTGACAACATTACAAAACGAGGGCGGGACTCCCGCATTTTCCGACAAAAGATGGAATCGATTACGAAGAGATTTAACACTAGTCTCTTTCGCTCGTCACCCTTGTCAAGCCCCATTATTCCCTGCAGAAATAACACCGCAGATTCTACCTGCTGAAGTGCGTGCCGCAATCCAGACCATGAGCAGCAACAGCTCCGTGACCAGACCATGTTTCGGCCGAACTCTTTCGAGCTGGAGGATATCGTCTACACGAGATACTTGCGAAACATTTAACGCCCTACTTTCAGACTTGCGAAACATTTAACATCCTTCCTTCAAAAGGAAAGGATCCCCAACCAGCCGAGAACCTT